GCTCAAGCGGCTAAGGCACCAGTCACATACATCAGAGCTGGTGATTTGGAATCCAGCTGGGTGTGCCAAACAATAATGACAACTACAACCAAAAAATAGCCAGGCGTTGTGGCGAGCACCTGTAGTCCTAGCTGAGGGAGGCTGAGGCAAGAGAATCGCATGAACCTAGGAGCAGGAGATTGCTATGAGCTGTGATGCCACAGCACTCTACCCAGGGTGACGGCTTAAGGCTCTGTCTCAAAAATAAATAAATAAATAAATAATAAAATAAAATAAAATTGCTTTGAAGGGTAGACTAGGCACTGGCATCAGTGTATAGTTTCCCAAGGGGGGGGGGTAATTCAAAGGTGACAGTAGTCATATTCAGCAATGAGGTATATATAGCACATTTTCTAGGATGAGTTCATGAACTTAATTGTCAGACTTCGTATATCTATCATCTGCACCTGAAATAGGGTGGAAACATTTCCTTTCCCAGGGTCTTCCCTTGCCTCACATGCTTGGTTGGTTGGGAGCAGTCACATGGGGGCCATAGAAGGCCCTGGGGAATGGAGTCAGAGAGGAGCAAGCTTCTAGCCTGGACCAAGATGACTGATGCTAGGTTGAAATATAAAAGCTAATTTTCTGAAGAACTTGCCCCCGAGTCGCCAGCCCTGGAAAAGCAGATCCCGGGGAAAGTGGCACAGGGCTTCACCAAGGCTGTAGTTCCCACTCAACCCAGGGCTAAGGAAGGCTTGGAGAGGAGTAAGTCCTTATCTGTGCGAACCTATCTAGGAGGTAACTGTAATACGCTCCCCATCTGGTGGGTCCTATATTATGGTCAGGATGCAAGTTTTGCAGACAACCATCTACTAATGCTACTTACAGGCTATTGACCTTGGGTAAGCCTCAGTTTCTTAACCAAAAATGGGCATAACCAATACCTCCCATTTTATAGAATAGAGATGAAGGTTAACCCTTCAGTAAACATTTAATAAACAAGTGTTCTAAGGAAGTGCTTCTCCAACTGTAATATGCATACCTGGGAACGTTGTTAAGGTACAGCGTCTGATTCAGTAGGCTTGGGGAGGGGCCTGACAATCAGCATTTCTAATAAGCTCCTGGGTGGTGCACATGTGATCATCCTGACCCCTCACCCCTCACAGGCATGCATATCATAGGCTTTCAGAGAAGAAATCCTGTACCTCACATTTCTGGGAATGCCACCAAATGTCAAGTGCACCAGAGAGGCTCAAGAAATTGATACTTAGGGGAATGAAGGACTGACTGGGGGATTCTGATAGGCAAGGGAGGGACTCTCAGCTCTGCCCAGGGCCCACAGAGCACCCAGGAGCAGCTGGCTACAGGACAAGGCGCTGCTGAGTGACGGACAAGTCAACTTGACTGCTTCTTGCAGCCAGGAGGAGCTAGAGGCAGGACCCAGGAAGAGGTGCTCCTTCTCCAAAACCAGAGCCTCCATCAGGGCCCAGACTGCCTCCTAGGTGCCACTGAGAGGCTCTACAATCCAGTCTTCTACCCCTGACAAGACAGGGTCAGCCTGAGCATGGGTGTGACTAAAATGCTAGGGGACAGTGAGTGCCAGTAGCTGGGCACAGACCACTTGGACCTGGAAATGAGAGGTCATCTCATGAAGGTATCTTATTTTTTTAACTTAGTGGAGACAATGTGGTTTTCTATTAGTTCTAAACAAACTTGACATGGGCAACAACTCTTTTTACCTTAGAGAAGGTGGAAGGTCATGTACCCGTTCCCCACCCCACCCCACCCCCCACCCCGTACACACATACACATTGTCCTGTCTCTGCACTCTGGGCGAGCTGAAGCCCTGCCTTCAAGTTCTCAGGTTGGTGTCCAAAGCCTCCCTGAGAATCAGACACACAGTTGCATGATACCTCCCACTTCAGTGGAAGACCCAGGCCTTGTGAACAATGCCTCAGAGGGTCCCAAGGCCAAGCCCCTCTGCTCTAAAGGAAAAAGAAGGTAAAGGAATGTGTTCCCATGTCTTGGGAGTTTGAGGGTGAGGAGACACAGAGCCTGGCTCTGACCTCCCTAACAAGAGCAGCAGGTCCATGTGGGAGACGCCCACAC